CCAGGTACTTTGTCACCAACCAGCCCCTCTGTGGTGGGACTGGTACCCTTCAGTGCTGAGGATGGAGAACTCCCTGCATCTTCTCCTAAGCTGAATACTTCTTGTTCTGATTCATAAAAGCACTTTGTTGCTTTACCAGAAGACAATATTCCTCTTCTTTCACCCTTTCCAGTATGGCCCTGTCAACATCCTTGTGTTGCATTTCCAGCCTTGACTTTGTAATATGGATCACAGCTGGTTGGTTTGAATTTCCCCTGAGTTACCCAGGATGCTGCTGAAAGCACAGGAAGAACAGAAATGCTTTAATCAGTTAAATCAATTGAACAACAACAAAAAAGTAGGCTAGACCTTAAAATTTACCCCACGACCTTTGATACTCTCTGCAGTGATGGCTTTGTTCTATTTCTTTAAGTGCAAGAGTTTATTGGGACTTGGCAGAAGGGTGGAGCCAGGAAGACACGGGAGGGGGGTTTGCTGAGTTAAAAAAGGAAAAAAGAAAATGTCAGTGAGAAAATGGAAATACCCTGATGTTTCTCCAGCCTAGTGCTGGAGTTGATCCCTCTCTCCCTCTGTTGCAGGGAAGGGGCTCCTTTTCCGTTAGCTTGACTACGGCCTCATTTAATCGGTTTGCTCTGACATGGAGCCAAGAAAGGGCTTTGCTGTGTGATGCCGGGTCCTGCGTGCGTTCAGGCATCCACAGCTGTTCCCTAGCAAGGGTTGGCTTTTGACTACTGAGGTATTTTTTTATAGCCACAGAGGGCAACTATTAATAGATGAGATTTACCAAAACACAGAGCTACGCAGCGTGGTGTGGAGGGGAAGAGGGAAACCTGTGCGATTTATGCCAGGAAAATTCCATGTTGAATTTATACTGAAGGACACAGTAAAAATGAATATGCCAAGAAGAGGATTTAATCTGTTACTCAGGCCATGCCAACATTTCTCCTCTGTTAAGCATCTACCCCATCACATGAAGTATGTTGCTGAATTATTTCTTCAGCATTAAATGGCACAAATTATACAAAGGATAAAGATAAGACACATAAATACCAGCTTTTCTGAGATGTGATTAGACTGTGAAAGAAATACCAAAAGGAAGAGGAGGCGTTCCTGACCCTGAAGACATTTCAGTTTGATCAGACGTGGGATTAGGGGTAAAATGTGAGGAATTCCACATGGTGTGGTAGGAACGAGCTGATCAGGAGTTTGCCTCTTTGTTTATTGATTCATTTCTAATTTCCGTGATAGGATGTAATGAGCCTTGTGCCCTTGTCAGACTCGCAAATTATATTTGTGTATTGAAGACGACAGGTTAGGGAGCATTGAGCAGGAAGGATTGAGGGTGTCAATTTAAGCTGCTTTTGCAGTCAGAGCTCAGACATTGATTAAATAACGTGAAATCCAGATGATATCAATTAATAGACCCATCACTCTAATCTTCTACCTATATTTTGTGCACCTTCCAAAGGCACAAAAGGGAATTATATTCCCAAGACAAGACCCACTGACTATTAGTAGTGTGTGGGTGTCAAAATCCCTGTTACACTTTGGAAAGCTTTGCCTTAAGTTGTTTTGTGTCTCCTTGATTTATTTATTTGTTTTGTTTAATTAAAAACGAGACTGAGAGAGATTAACTGGTGAAAAATTCTAAGTAAATAAAGAAATATGATGCACTCATTTAGAGAATGTGTGTAGACCTCAAAAGGGACAGAGCTTAGTTTGCTTCTCGTGAGCATCTGAGAGTATGGAAATTTTTCCAAATGGTCTGAACTGCTTAGGTTTGCAGAACTGGTTGAGAACAATTACAAACCAGCATTTTTCTGTGATTTCCTGATTTCCATGAGCTTGATGATGCTCTTATTCCTGTCTTCAATCCCAGCAAGCACAAATGGAGATAAGCATACCTGAGAAATATTAAGAATTACATAAACTTATATTATTTAAAATACCTGAATATTTTGAGGCTTAGCATTTCTGGTTAAGGGTTTTTATTTTGCCTTCATATTTGACTTGCTTTCTGTTAAGGACTGATTCTGTGAGTTGCTGCTTCCTCCCAAAATGTGTAGTCTTATTGCACTAAGTGCTGAGGATAAGCTTTGGCTGTTTGTAGTTGTTACTCAGTTCCTTAGGGGAACAGTAATGCCATCTGCTCGCAGCAGGTATAGACATACAGCATAGGCATGATTTAGAGAATTAAATCTTAAAGTCTTTATAATTGCTAGAGAAAAGGTAGGTGCTTCCACCAGGATTCAGAGCACCTAGGTTAGGGGATGAAAATAGGTCTATATTGCCATGCACAATGTACATCAGGCTTCCCCATCACACTGCATTCCTTAACAGTCTTTCAATCTTTTCTATTTTTACATATATAATGTTGTTCCAAACGTATGTTATGCTTTCTGTCTGGGCTAAGTTACATATCCCAAGCTCTTTGAAGTATGTAGAAAGATTGAACTCACAAAGACTTGGGTCTTTGGCTTGGATCTCTACATCCAGAGCACGAGCGAGGTCAAGAGCCTTCCTGAGATGAAGGGCAATAACTAAGAGGAAAGCTCCTACAGAACAGCACTGCAATAGAGTAAGTAGGAGAAATGTTTTGGGTAAGGATTGATGGCAACAGTTCACAGCATTATGAAAATTACTTCCCTTTTGCCTCCAGCCTTTTTACCACGGCTGTGTCAGTGCCAAATCCAGAACTCACTAATTCTTCCAGAATTGATCGGTCATGATAAACTTCCAAACACAGAGTAAAATGCTTCTGTTGAACACATCAGAGTGATTCTCCCAGTTTGCCTGAAGAAATCTGTGCTGTTTGATTCCCTCCCTGTGCCCAGTTGGATTCAGAAAAGGGCTAGGAGTTCCTGGCTTCCTCCTCGTGTGCTCAGAATTTCTCTAATAGTTTTGCTTCTGGGGATAGATTTATTCATGAGTTTTTGCTTCAAAATGTCTCATTTTGTCTTAAAAATATAGTCCCAAACCTTTAGCTGTCCTCAACTTAATCAGACACACAACTTTCTTTTTTTATCCATCTGGGTACAATACGTGAAGCATTTCTAGTTTTTGATCTAGAAAACCATCAGGAGGAGATAGTCCAAAGGGTGCTTCCGAGATGACTTCCCTTTCCCCCACAACTGAATAAAGCAGGACGTCAGGTTTTGCAAAGTTCTTGAGATGTGCTTGAGCTGGCAGCAGAGGAGTTGTGGAAGTGAGGAAATTCATAACAGCCCCCCTCTGTCTTTGACAGGGAGCTGCAAGACATTTCATGCTAACATACGTTTTATAAATGCAGGTTTGTATAATTCAGGGTCTATGTGTGGGAAACGGTGGACAAAAATGACAAGCTGCAATTTGTGCTGGATCCTTTGCAAAGCTAGTTTTGTAGTCATCGAGATCTTAAGTCCTCTAGTAGTTGTTAGTGACAGGTTACTAATAAATTACTGCAGCAAACCAGAGTGAAAGTCACTATGTGGTTGAGATGGGCAAATAGAGTGACAGAGGGTACAAATGTTATGGGGAAATTAAACTGCATGGCCTGTCTATAGCAGTCATATTTGTGGCAAAAGTTGGTCAACAAATTTACCATAAAGGAAAATTAGATTTTTTTTTCCCCCCTCTTGTGTTAGTATTTGCCAATGGAGAACAGATCTTTGCGTTCTCGCAGCCCTTTGCTAGAGGTCTGTGTTTGATTCAAGTGGGTCCACAGGCTTGTGGTGCCAAAACAGGCACTTTCTGTGCTCATGTCTGAAGGCCAAATATATGGGTATGATTTCCTATAGTTTACTGTTACATGCTGGATCAGTATTGGACGTTTCATAAGCTGCCAGTCCAATTTTGTAGGGTCTTGGGAAATGTGTCCTCCAGGGAATGCTTACAATCAGCCTTATGTTTTGGACTGATAGCGCCTGTTTTCTGGTACACGTTAGCAGATCCATATGTGAGGCAACCCAAATGTCCTTCCATCCGACTAATAACCTCGGCAGCAGACGTGTCTGCTGCCCACTATTTACTTAAGAGGCAGAGGATCTTTTCTGCTTGATACAGCCTTCAGTTCAAGGAACGTCCACTCTCAGAAGCACACATGTACAATAGTATTTGCTTTCCCTTGTACCTGTGCAGAAGTTGCAGGTCCTGCATAGGTTAAAAAACCAGAAAGACTGAAAGTTCCTGAGTGTTTGGAAAAGACACATTTACATCTTTCCTCCTACTGCTTGTCTCTGCCTCAACAGAGAGAAATGAGGGGCAGGATTTTGATGTCAGGGAGTCAATTATGTTAGCAGGTTCTGTTACAGCCATTGCTGCCACATTTCA